CCAGTATTTTTGTTCAGCTTTGTAAGTTTCATCTACATGAAAAACTTACATTATTGGAACTTGCATCATTTCTGTTCAAAGCAAATGTAGTTCCTCTGCTGTGGAAGCAGTTGTACCAAATAGATGTACTTAACAGCCGAGCTGTTCCCACTGAAAGTACAACATGGATGGATGGCGTCCTTGTGCCAGATTATGTCCATATCAGAGCTTACTGCGATTTAATTGATTTTTAAAAACACCACAAACTTAGAGCAGTTTTGGTTAGAGCAGTAGAAGGTTTTTTTGGGTTTTCTCAAACAATTGGTATACTGAGAGTGTGCTTAGAACAGAAGCTGTTCTTTGTCCTGAGTGTATCTTTTACTTCAGTCAGAACTAGCATGTCTTCTTTTTAATGTCACATAGAATCCATTCTATGAATGCTAATGCTGTCTTTCAGACCTTTAAAAAGGATGGATAATTGTCCATTGTATTACTAGATTTTTTTAAGAGGAGACTGAATATTTTAAAAAGTCGGGCACTTAAAATTTTTGTAGTTATTCAGTACCAGTACTTAAAATTGTACAAATTTTCAATGAGTTCCTCCACGGAAGTTTTTCATTTTTAGTGTTGTTAGTATGTAGTTTGGAAGACGAACTGCTTTATTTGATAGGCAGACCTGGATTTTTAGCCCAGACTGTATTTTGTAATACAGAAGTCTGAATTCAGCGCATTTCTGTATAATACAGTATCTCTATAATTGCATGATATGTTTTATATGGATATATATACATTGAAGGAATGATGTTACTTCTGTTTTCAGACACAGAAAGTGACTGTTCTGTGAACCAGGCTGATTTTGGAACTAGAACAGAGTAAAACAACCTTGAAAGAGCTTGTTAATAGAATTTTGGATGAACTGTGATACACGGTATAAACACAGAGTTGTATGGTCACTTAAATGGAATTCTGACTTACTTCTACCTACCATTCCTTTATACAGAATATACTGAAAAGTAATTTCTTGGCTTACATTTTAGAAAAGCCCTAAAGCAACAGAAAACATACAGGGATTGGGTTTGATTTCTAATTATAATATAAATTTTCTCCAGCTGCCCTTCAGCCTGTGTATTGAATATTGTCTAATTTGTGTATCATGTCAGAATTGTCTTGTGGAAGGATGTGGAGAAAGAAGTGCTAATTATTTCACTGATTACATGGAAGTTGCTCTGGATGGAGGAAGTGCCATGGGGAAACACGTGCCAAGTATTAATGGCGTGTGAACTAATTGGAAATATGTAGATAACTAAGACTAGATTTCTGTAGGGCCTTGTAAGTTTGGCCAAATCTTTATATTCAAATATGCTGATATTAGTCACTGTACAGCTGCGTTACAGATAACGTATATCACAATAGCATCTTCCTATGTTCTGCCGGTTTCCTGATGTTTAACTGGTTAACATAGAACTAATGTGTCTCAGAGGAGTGTATCTACTCTCATTTATCTTTGTTTTCTCTATAGGTGGATGTGGCTGTGGTGCGTTTCACTCCATTGGTGCAACCAAAGATAGAGCAGCCGTTCGAGCTAGTGGAAAAAGTGGTTCGAAGTGTTTTTCAGTTTCGAAGAAAATACTGCTTCCGTGGAATCGAGTAAGGATCTTTATTGAAAAATTCTCAGATGATGTTTTTGTAAATGTGTCAGCTTCTAAATCAGTTGAGAAACATTTGTAGCTATTAATTTGATTTTTTTATTCCCTATTTAAATCTGTCATCATGGCTCATTAGATCTTTCCATTTCAGAATGCTTTTTGGAGACAAAACTGAGTTTAATTTCTTTCTGCTGTAATTGTATAATAATCACTGCATTTTTGTTAGAGCAGTTGAAGCTGCTAAAATTCCTAGCATAAATTGGTGATCTTTCCAATAGTTTGTCTGTCTCAGAAACAAACAAAAAACCCCCACACCAACCACAAAAACTATACCGTTTGTTGGTTGAGTTAAGAAATTACATGGGGATCATGTCAAAAGGTCAGATTCTTGCATCTGTGCTTGCCCTTTTATGGAGTTCTTACCGACTCTTTAAAAATCCCCATGTCTTACTGAGGGAATTTATTAGATTCTCTACCTGATATGAGAAACCTGTGGTCTGTTTGCCAAGGACCCTGTTAAAACTCCTAGCATAGCTATGCATCTGACTTGGTGTGGGAGAAACCAGCATTTGGCATTGTAGCACGAGTGACAGAGCTGCTGTTAGGTGTGGAGGCATGACACTGCTGCAGCTTGGGCTGGCTGAATTTTGCTGGGCATGGTTCTGGCCCTGACACAGCCCAGAATTAGGGTGGATGTCACCTTGCTGAACTGTGACCCTTATGTGTTGCTATTTTAAAGGTGACCATAGAATATTGCCTCTAGTTTTGTGTTGTGGTTTGTTTTGTTTTTTTTTTTCCTTGAGGCAGTTTGCCTGTGTTAAGGTTTGAGTAAGCATTTGGAGGTGGTTAGAAAATGAGGTACGTGATAGGTGTGTATTTGATTCATAGGGTTGGGGTTTTTTGGGAAAGAACGGTTTCAGTTGATGATGTAAACAGAAGGTATGCGCAATCAGCATGTCTATGTTATGTAGAAGATTTTTGCCAGTTGTTTTTATTTAAAAAAAACCACACAAAAAAACCCCAAAAAACAAAAAACAACTGTTGTGTAATCTCAAATTGCTAATAACTGCTTTTCATTCTTGAGGCAAGGAAGGGGAATCTGAACTTTTGGACGTCATGTATTCCCCCAGCAGCTTATCATAGTTTAGCCTTAATGTGCAGCTAAGAAATGCAATCCTCTTATTATTCAGCTGACCTGAAAAAAAATATCAAATTTTGGTATACAAGATGACTATCAAGTTTGTTACAAGCTATCTATGTATCCGTCTGTCACATATACTGTGTAACAACAAGGTAATAGAACCAGTTTACACTTGTGTGTAAATTCTGGGGTCTGAGAGAGACATGGCCTGTAAGAATGAACTATTAAGTAAGTCCATGAAGAAAAATACTGTCATTTGAGTTGCTGTTTGTGGACATTTATAAGATGGTTCCTAGTCTGCATATAAAAAGTGACTGAACATTTTTGGCTTCAAGTACCAAATCAAAGGAGTTAATAAGGAGAGGTATAAAAATAAGGATTGGTCCATTTTAACCTTGCTGACCTAGATACTGAACTAACGGGGACATTTTTGACTGAGGCCTGGAATAGCAGGTACTTTAGACCAGATTGTTCCCAGAAATCCATCCTTCTCTTGTCGTCTCAATCCCTTTCTTAACTTTGTGTGCTGTCTGCCCACCAGAAGCCATCTATCATTTATTTATGCAAAGCCTTTTGGCTAGCTTGTCCAGGCAACCTGCAAAACACAGCTGGAGGTGTGGGGGTGTTACTGTATTAGATGCACAGCAGTTTTAGGTCTTATGTATGTATGACAGAGGCAGATAATTTGAAAATTGACATGCAGATTTTCTACCTTCCTGACCTGTTGTAGACTGAGAACTACTGCTATTAAAAGTGTGTTCTTTCAATAGCTTGCACTTTGTAGAGTGCATTTTTTGCAAGACATCACTTGAATTAATACTATTCATTAAAATTTGGGGAACTTGTGTGAGAGAGGTGCTAACACAGCTGGCCACAGAGTAATGAACTGATATGACTGCCTATGCCCAGAGTTCTCCCAGTTCTATATATTAAAAAGTGAATTATAATGGAGTACTCCTTTCTTCCTTTTTTGGCTTTTTCTTTCTATGGCATTAGAATTATGGTATTAATGATAAGCGATAACTGTACCTTTTCCATTGGAATGAAACACTTAGCCTGAAAGTAAGTCACATCGTTTGGATCTGATTTGTTTTGCTCAGTTTAATCTGTTGCTGCCCTCTAAATATGAGGCTAATTCTAAGAAGGCTCTGTGACTCAATCCATACCCAAAGCTCTTTTTAATGTTAGCAAACGTTGAACATATATGCATGTGTTTAATGTACAATGTATGTATATGCTTTCCTATGTTATAATTTGCACTTGCAGAAAAGGGGTTCATATGTTTCCATTTGCTTAGATAATGAGCTATAGTAAGAGTGCCAGAGCTAAAATAATTACATACTTAATATAGGTTTACTATTAAGTAAACTCCCAAGAGGATCCTGTTACTCTTAGGGGAAACCAAACTGTCCATCTGAATTTTTTGAATTTGTTTGTCTTCTCCCCACACCTTTTAGGACCTTGTTTCCTGAAAGTGGACGTTTGAAAAGAACAGAACAACTGATGATGACAGCAAATGTTGATCCAACTCTGCGTTCTTTTCAGCTCTCCATGTCACAGTTTAGAAGTCTGTGCAATACATACAGGAAGATGTGTGATGAAGATCCAAACCTTTTTGCATACAATTACAGAGAAGAGCTAAAGCAAAAGAAGAACAGTTCACTTAAAAGTACCAGTTGGCCTGAACAGACTGAAGAGGAAGATCAGCTGTAACAGCTGTAATTGCAGCAGACTGATTTTTTTTATTTGTTGTAACTCCTTGTTCTAGAGTTGTTGATTCTGTAAAAGGAGGCTTGTATGTTCCTACATCTGTGCAGGTATGGAAGAAATACTTTTGAGAAAGTGGTGGAGAGAGGGGGCTTTCCCATTTTATTTATTCATTCCTTCAGCTGTAGACAGAAGTGATAGCACAGTCCAGTTACAAGGTGCCTACAGGTTCTTTTTACTTCAGGGGAACAGCTAGAGCACATACCAAGAGCAAGGTATGTTGAGAGACATATAATTAAGTTGGGATACTTCTAAGATAATTGAGTTTTGTATAAATGAAAGTGCGTTATTGAAACTTAAGAAAAAAGTTATTTTCATACTTCAGCATGTAAGATGGTTTTTGTGCTCTTTTCATCCTGGAACATCATACTGTGCAGAGCAATTTAAAAAACAAAAGCCAAAACTCTTGTATAAATATACTCAAGTGACCAGCTTAAAGGAGGATAAAGTGCACAGATTGCCTCAAGGTCTGCTAATACTCTTCTCATTTATGCAAAAGTAAAGAACTTGGGATTTAAAGCTCCAACTAGAGAAAAGCAGCATGATAAAAAGTAGCAAACATGTCTAAGTACAATACTTGTCTTTTACTGTACAGGCTGGTAGAGAAAATAAAAAATACAGTCAAAAGATTACAGGCCAAGCTTTTTTTGTTTTTCCTATTTACATATATATGTATAGACAGCATGTTGAAACTTACAAAAATGAAATTTCTGCACTATTGTGCACTAAAACACATTAAAATAACTTAATTCTGCTTTAAATAAAGCAAAAATGAAAACAAAAAAAATAAAATGCCCAAGGTATTGAAAAATACATTTTGCAATGCTACTTTCCACTGTAATCCCCTCTGCCACTCACTAGCACCTTTTCCACATTACTCCAGATACTAATGAGCCATCCTTCCACTCCCCTCCCCAAGAATACTACGTCATCTTAACAACTGCTTGAAAGGGATGAACTGATTTACAGACCTTGGCCAACTTAATCTATTTTTGATCCACAATAAATTAAAATAACTTAAGAATCCTTTACAGCTGTTTTTGTGGAAAAAATATCTTAGTGCACAAAATCAGATAGTAGTTTTCCTGCAGCTTCCATGAATTTAATAGTTTTAAAGCAAAATAAGTTTGTTGAGTTTTATGTGGACTTCAAATGAATATTTTTAAATAGTGCTTAGAAAGCTAGGATTTCCCATGCCTCTCCACAGCTTCATAAAAGCAGTCCTCATTAACTACAGATGTTAGACTCTGGACGCTAAATTCTCTCTCTAAAATGGAGTTCAGATCCAGGTTTGCAGCATCAGAGTGACTGTCAAGGGACTGGTGACGTTCTTGCATTACCATTAATGTTCCTCGGTTACGCTTTGTGCTCTTTACTTTTCTTTTCACTGGGCAGAAATGGCCACGCACCAACTTTGGATGCTGTCCTGTCCCAAAGCCATCTCCTTCCTCATTTTCAGCAACCTGATCCCGTTCGGAGTCGGTACTCGGTTCCTCTGAAATCTTCAGCCGTTGGAACTGTATTTCAATGTCTTTTGTAGGGCTGCCCTTCTTTAGGTTCTGATAGTCATCATCGTCCTCATCGTCGCTGAGAATATCAGATTCTTTGACAAGAGCATTAGAAAAGTCAGAGGCACAGCTCTGTTCGTGTTTATCGGGAGATGAATTTTTGGGCTCCTGTATGCTCTCAGCCGTGTGGCAGCTGCTGCTCTGAGTACTGCTGCTCAGGCTGCACTCATCAGAGTCCTGGAAGGTGCCTTTCCCCACATCACCATTCCACTCGCTACTGGATGAATTCTTCAGTACCTTCAGGGACCTTGTGGAAGCTGTGCAGAGGAAAAAAGAGATTTATTTTTTCAGCAGAAGATCAGCTGGTTATACTGCTCTCAATAGCTCACTTACTTATAATTACAGTGTATGTAGTCTCATTTGATAATCAGGTCAGATGTGCCAGCATTCTGATACTGGCAGTGTGATCTCGTGTCAGTTTTCATTCCACCTACCCCAGAGCTATATGCTTGCTTGCATGTGAAATACATATTCAAAATCCTCCAAAAATTGTAGTAATGATTTATGCACATCTGGAGGAAAGCAAGATTGAGTCTGGCCCCTCAAGCACTGGAGGGCCAGGTTGTAGGCGGGAGTTGAACCATCCCAGTTCCTGTGATGTTAAGGGGATTTTACAGACAACTAAACAGATGGAGAATGTGAAATACTAGTAGCTACTCATTTAACTAAAATGTCTGAAGCCTGTACTTAATTAGGGTATTTGCTGGGATGCAGATTTAGTACATTGATAAAAGCAAGACCCCTGCCTTTTGACAGTTGTTTTAGCTTTAAATGTTATTAGGGCTGAGTTACTAAAGGGAATCCAGAGGAAAGAACACTAACATTGCATGCCAAAGGGAGTCTGCTTCTTCCCAGCAAAATGAATTTGGGCCTTATTAAGTCTTCCCTTAAGAGAGCTAATGACACATCACAGTGTGGGGGAATGGCAGGCTTGCTTATCTCCTCTAGCCCTTGTCATGCACTGATTTGTGGAGGAACTCTACCACCTCCCCAGCCTGAAAAAGAAATGGGATTTGTGGGTCTGGCATAGGACACGCTACAGTCATGGTAACAATTGCAAACCTTCTGCCAGCTCTAGAGTCCAGAGCCCCTTTTTCACTTTGAAAAATGTGTTTCTTTCTTACCCAGCTTGGCTGTTGCAGGTATACGGTTCTTGAGTGGGACAAGGCGATCTCTACATGTTTTCTCCAATGGTAGCTCACATTTTATGTGACGTCTGAAATTCTCCCGCAAAATAGAACGGATCACCTTCACGATGTTAGTCTTGTTCTCACAGTCACTGCAAGTTTAAGAAAAGAGGTAACCTAATTTTTCCCTTTGAAGGATGAATTCTGTTGGGGATAAATTCTGCCTTTCTCCTTTCTGCTGATGTGCTTTAGTGCAGCGGTTTTTTCCAGCAGTTTGCTTTAGGAACGGTTTTGCAGCTAACATCTTTATATGTTGTTAGCCATTTCACACACTTTGTGTATTGAGATCTTGATTACTTCCTCATAGAAAAACAGCCTGAAAGGTAAATTCTGTACCAAGAGATCACCCCTTAAGTGGTCTTTGTCAGAAGGTAATTTCTGTTAACCAACTGAGAGGCTGATAAAATCAGTTACTTTGCCCATATCATACTGGAATTTACAATCACGTGTCTGCAGATTTCTGACATTGGATCACTGCACCAAACTGACTCCAATTTCAGATTCTTATACTTTATGCAGTAAAACACTGGCGTAGTGCCTGGATTCAAAAAGCAAGAGCTGCGGAGGAAAATTTCTTACTTTTTTCATGCCATTAACATAATTTGCCAAATACAACATCCGTGTAAAGCTTACCTGCTGCACAACTGAAAAATTGTTTCTGGTCTGCCTTCTAGTTCTGACTTTGTGTGAATCAGTTCCCAGATACAGCTGTTCTCTGTTCCTGGGCATGGAAGGAAATGTTATATTTTTCACAAAATCTTCAGCATTAGAAAGACCAGAGGCAGTGTTAACATGGGTGGGTCCACAGAAGATCTCACCCAAGGTGGAACCCAAAGAAAGGTCCCCTGAACTCTTCTGTCACAGCAGCGTGGCCAGTGCTGCCTTTGAAAACTCAACCTTCTGTCTCAGAGAGTTGCTTTCCCCCTTTCTTAAAGCTTCGTGCTGCCTTCCAGCCTTAGAAGGCCTTCTCCCAGGTGTGCAATGGCTTTAATGCTCTAAACACCTAGTGACACTTAACTGAAGACATAGAACTGCACAGGATCGTAAATATCAACTCAAAGAGAAAACAAAACCACAGCCCTCTACTACCACAAGTTACACAGTCAACTTTTCCACAATTGGAAAAAAGCAAGGATCAGCCCACACACAGTGTAAGGGTATCACCAGGATGTCAACTATGGTAAATCACCTTCCTGTTCAGTCTTTTCACTGGCGATTCCCATTCTGCCATCCCTTCACATCATGTTGCATCTTAGGGAATTCACAGAAGCAGTCAGGGTACCAAATGAAGACAGTTTGTTAATGTATCAAGCCTGTACCCCCTGAGAGCAGAGACAACCCTAGCTACTATTTTCTCTACACCTGCCTGTTTCCAGAGGCTTCACAAAATACAGATGGAAGAAGCAGTATTACAGATTCCCACAGAAGTGTTCACTCCTAAAGTATTCAGTGCAAGGGAATTACCTGCTGTGTTCCCCAGTCGAACTTGAAGAGCAGATAAAGGAATCAGCCAACGAAACTTAAAGGGATCCAAGTCACCGTAATTATGTGCAGCACGAACATTAGTAGGCTGGAAAAAGAAAAACAGCAAGAATATTTCTAAGAAGTAAAAAAAAGTGGGGGGTTTTGTGATACTCTTAAAAAACCTGCCTCTGAAGAGAAACTAAATTCAGTAGACTTTTTCCTTCAGTGCCCTAATACATGCTTGTAAATGTATTTTACACTGAAATGGTGATAGACACAACCTTTAGAATTTGTAATTGTTTCAACTTTTAAAAGCATTTGTTTTTAATGGATGAAAATAATACTTTGCGTGAAAGTACTACTAGGGAACAAGTTTCCCACAAAGAAACCCGCAGACTGCTGATTAGCAGAATACATTAATCATGTAGCTGCTGCTGTTACTTTCAGAGCCCCTCCATCTGCTATGATAGGCATGGTGCAGTACCTCACCACTGGTACTCGGGAATATGTAACTTGCTACTTGTTTACAGCATTCTAGTTTTGTACATGGGAACAGAGCAGGTTATGTTTATAATGCCCCCTTTTCTTTCCTACCAGGGTGGTCAAGGGTCTATAAACAGAGGCCTTTAACCTATGCACTACGTTAAGTCAGGCCATCGTAAATGCCTTCTGGAAGAATTAATGATTCCTACATGGCAATATTTCATATTCCACCCGACGGAATTAGCTTGGGGCTCATGCAGGGAGGATGCTGCTGCTTACTAAATAAAAAAATATTTATCGCTACACAGATACTAAGCACTTATTTTAGCTGTGCTAGCTAGAATTCCAGCCTAGCGAGGGGTGGCATTTCACCACAGTTACTCCCCCTTCAGCACCAGTATGGTCCATCTCACACAGCAGTAGGATCCTGTGCACCCACAACCTGCAATGATATCAGACTTACCATTTTCTTTTTCAGTTTGTAGTTCTCTTTATACACCAGTATAACAGCCCTCTTAAAAACTTAAAAAGAAAGGACAAAAAAAAGGAAACCATTAATTACAGGTGTAACATTCAATGAAAATAGTATCTTGGAAAAGCTGACAATTATAGTCACAGGAATGTAAAGGATAAGATAAGCAAACTGATTGAAAAGCACCTGCTCTGTATTAAGATGACAATTGGGTTTTTCATCCTGCAATGGCAAGTTTTTTTTTCCTCAGATTTTGTTCTGAACATTTAGGATGAAGTCATTCTTCACCTTTATTCTGAAACTACCAGCAGCCTGCCTCCCATAAGTCTTCACAAAAAGAAATACAGCAGATGTAGGTTAGATGTAAAAGTTCAGATTTTCTTCTGTAATCAGTGGGTGTTTTCTAGTAGAGTGAAGGGCCTAGAGTAAGAGAGGGCTGTGCAAAAGGGCACTAAATCTGTTCTTCCTGCAGTTTGGCATTTGGTTAGTTGGAAACTCAAACATTCATCTCAATTCCTACTTTTCCATCTGCAGGAATTCTCTGGCTTCCACAGCATCTGACTGAAGTGGCTCACTCATGTTATCTAATCTCAGTCTCCAGGGAGGCAGGGACACCTTCTCTCTCCTCTGTAAGGAGGAACAGAAACACAGGGACATGGATGTTGGCTCTGCACAGCAGTCCCGGATCCCAAATCAAATCCAAGAGCAGTACAGCTCTATCTCTGCTCATGCATCCACGCTTCCTTCCAGTGGAAGAGGGGGAAAGGGCGACAGTATGCAGTTAAGTCTCATCCTTACATGAAGCCAGAATGCAGCCATAGCGAGCACAGCATTAACCCCAGGGCTTGGCAGTGCCCTTCAGTTCGACATATTAGCTGCATTTTCTAAGCTGCCTGCATAGGGTTTGAAGTGAGAATAAGAGGCAGACAAGCACTCTAAGCTAACCATGAGGCTAGAACCCTTTCGTTCTTACATGTCCTGCTGGGAAGTGTCTGGCATACACGGATCTCTGAGAACCTCATCCAAGGAACCTGGGAGGTAGTTCCTGTTAGTTCCTCTGTTAGAAGCATCCCCTGCCCTAACCTGTCATGCTTCCCAGACAAGGAATGGATGACAGCCCTGAGCAAGAGAAACTTGTCTCTTGTCAACCTGGAGTTGTTCTGTAGATGTGTATCCAATGACATCTTAAAGAAATATTTTTTACAGAAATGGAGAAGCACCTATGGTGTTTCTCTGGAAGAGTGAGTGATTACTAAATGATTACTTGTATGTATACTATTAAATAAAACTCATGTTTGTATGCTGTAATTTCCACATCCATTTTTCATGTTAAAATAATGTGGATTTGGATTTCGATGCAGTAGCTGTAAAGCAGAAGTTAACCTGAATTCATATGAGTAGAATAAATTGTGATGTTACTATGAGCCTTCTTTGAAAGCTTGGTTTAGAAGATTGTTCAAAAGAAAATACTGCCTCTTAAAAATCACAAATTTCTATGGTTTACATATAGGCAGGAGAGCAGCTGAGGTTGGCTTACAGAGCAAACAGCAACAGTAAGCAAATGAATGGAAACTTTGCTCATATTAAGAAATAAACTATATATTTTTTCAGATGTAAGCCTACCCTAGATATCACATGACTTCAGGAAAAGGAGATTGTGGCTTTCATCTTGTGAGAAGATTTGATGTGGTAGTCAAGATTTGAGAGAGCAGAGAGTCATTAAGGAGGACACTTACCAAACACTGTAAGTTCAAGGTCTTTTCTTGCTTTGCCCAGCGATGGGAATGGATTCAGCCACGAAACTGTAGAGTGCATCAGAAGTTCTCCCATTGAAAGCTCTGTAACCTGTATTATAGCAGTAGATAATATAAATAGTATAAATATATATGTGAATAAAATATTAATGAGCACATCAGTAACGTTAAGGATTTATGTTTTCTGTATTTACTTCATGTACACAGAGAAAGACACAGGTCTACACTACAGCAGGAAAAGTGTGAGTAATTCCCTTTTTAAAATAGGTAACAACTATAAAAGTAGTAGCCCCTAAGTTATGGAAGCTGGATTGGAGTTCTTACTCTTGATAACTTAGAAAAAAGGTTAAGTTAATTTGATGATCTGTCACTCACATACAGCCAGTTGTGAACTGTCTGGTTTATTAGCTGTAGGTATCTTTAATTTCTATGGAGTAATTAGTATTAATGACACCCCCAATAGCAGAATTACTGGAGGTCTTGTACTCTGAGGCTGCTGTCTTCTGTGGGACACAACGTAACACTGAAGGATCTCCCATGCTGTCAAGTTTTGTTTCCCCATAAATGGTGGGAAACCAGGTAGCCAACGGGGGTGATTTGGCTTTCACTAGGAGGAAATAAAACATCTCTCATCTCTGATCTCCACCTTTTCAGATTTGATCTGCTCAGTAATTGTTTGATGTAAATAGCAGATGAGATCGAGCTGCCCCAGTTCTGGGGCATGCATGCACAGAGTCTGTTTGACTAATGGTTTTTGCTCTGACAAATAACCGTGGATGCCTCAGCACTGGAAGTGTAGAGAATGAGAATAACAAACCTTAATGTGAAGTCACTGAAATTGCCATTTTCATTTATATGGGTGAGAAAAATATCTTAAGAACTCTATAGCATAAAATCTGAATGGCTTGGGACATGGATAATCACTGCAGCATTTGAGAAGAGGAGGATTTTTTCTACTGAGAATTATGTCTACTCCTGCTTGCAATTTTTGTTAGTCCAGAAGGCGGCTCTGGCAGCTGTCTGAAAATTTTACCGTAACCTACTGACAAAAACAAACTTGAAAGGCAGATATGAAATGGAAGTCAAAATATTATAGGAGAATGGAAGAAGCCCAGCACAAATAAGTTCCCAAAATTACCACAGGAAGAGATAAAACATCCAATGGCAAGCAGGATGAGGCTTCAGCTGTGAATAAAACACGTTGCTCCTTCTCTTACCTCCTTTTCTGTTCCACTTTGATCTGCAACCAGTTGGTCAAATACAGTGCCATAATCTTCATATATCTTCTGCATCTCATTGATGTGACTTGCTACTTTTTCCATTGCCTTCAACGCTTCTATAAGGTTTAAAAATTTCATAAACAGCTATGTAATTCAATTGTATTTTCTAAACATGACATTTTTTATTGAATTCCACTTGAGGCAGGCACTGGCACAGTGTTGCGCCAAGACCTGTTGAACAGAATTGTAGCTTTATATCAGTCCTTTCTCATGGCAACAGTAGAAGGTATGTTTCCTGATCAGAATAAGTAAAAAATGTTCATCTGGTGTCTGAAGTGCCTGAAAAGGCTGCAATAAGCATTCCAGTGATGAACCTCTAAATGTATGAATATTCTTATCAACATGATAGTAAATGGGGTTAGGTTTTGCATCATATGTATATAGGGCCACTAGGATCTCTAGTGTGGCCTGGTTTTGTTTAAATTTCGTTTTCTAAGCAAGGATGACACTAGGTTTCATTAGACTTCTGTGTTAATTCACAAAAGAGTAAGAGAAGGGCGCTTCGTTTCTCCAGTCCTGCCAGCTCTTAACGGTGCAGCCTTTTAGAAATTTGGCGTTCATCCTGATCTGCAAGTAAGTCACCCCCAGCTTGGTTTTAAGGGCAAGGGAACCATATTAAAAGCTCCCTCTGAAGTCAGTAACAGCATCATGACTTTTTGCTGACAGTGTATTTTGCCTGAAGCTATTTTGTTAAAATGACAATCAATCCATAAAATAAATCTCCAGACTGCTGACAGACCTGAACTGGAATTTGCCAGGGTGAACCCTCAAGCATCTGAGCCTAGAAAAGCAATCAACTCTAACATATTAGACATACAAGTCTGTCTACATGGGAAGACTGCAAAGCTGTGACACAGGTCTCTTCTACACAAGCAAAAGTCACAGCGAAACCTCAAACAACTGAAATTTCCTTCTGTGGCACTGTTAAACTCTGACATGTTTCAGGAACTGAGTAATAACCACAAGATGGAGCTTTGGTCAGTGTTTCCCAAGTGGGGAGAAAAAAAAAAAAAAAGCGCAACATTATGACCTCACATGCTCCTGTGCAAGAATTGAAGAGAAAGACCCAAGTCATATTTGCCATGGCAAATCCTGGGTGTATCTTTTTGCTAAAAGCACAAAAAAGCTACTTACTATTTTTAAAGAGACAGAGGGAATTCTCTTTAGGTTTTGACGAGGTCTGCGCTATCTACCAGAATGGCTACCTGCATCTTCAGAAAAGGCTGGAAATAAAACTTAACTCATTTTCACTCCTGTAGCAGAAAGGAATAAGTTACCTGTCAAATGATAGTGCTCCTCGCTCTCGTTATCTGTCAGAGACACCAGCTCTTTTAAAAGCAGAGGGTATTTCAGCACTCGCTGAACAGGCTTTATGAGATACGACTCCAGTGTAGAAGAGTGTTGCTTTGTGGGATTTCGAGCATCCAAAAAGGCCTTAAAGGCGCTATCTGTTTTTGCTAGACATAGATAAAAGAGTTGGTCAGTTGAAAATGGAATTCACAGAAGCTACAATAACTTGAGAGCACAAAATTGCAACTTGTAACCAGCACCAAAAGCCCCACCCTTTTCAGTAGATGGTTTACAAAGTGGTTTACACTATTCATTTCATACTCCTTTCCTACATTAAATAAGATATTTAAGGGCTAAGAGAACAATTTTATCAAGGTGAGATTATTCCACAATGTGATTTTTCCACTGCACTGTAGTAGATGGCAGAGAAAGTAATTCCTACCTTATTCTACCATTTGTTGCTGCTTTTTGGAGTATGAACTGGATCTGTCGACAGCACAGACTTGTGGAAGATGTTTCTATAGCTATTCAGCCTACTGCCTGGACGTTACTAAAGGAATTTTATCCCTTCAGTTCTATACCGTACTTCAGCAGAACCACAGATCTTACCTATTCCCATTGAAATATACCAATTTAGCCCTTGCTTTGTACCAATATTCTCTGCAAGTCAACGAGATCTGTTTCAGTAGTTCACTGCAGTTTAAATTCATGCAAGTGAATGACAATAATGAAGACAATAAATTACCTCTCTCGAGAACTTTCTGAACTTTGATGTGGTTTGCACAGAAGCCACTGTACAGTTTAAAGTGGTCAGCATAATACAGAAAGGAGCCTCCGAGGGAAAACAGCAATTTCTGAAATCAACACAATAAAAACGTTCATTCATTACTATAATCCTAAAAAGTGTTCAGGCACATAACACAGAGGCTCAACAGTGTGATTATCTGCTATCTTTCTATACATACCCAGTATTTTATATGTATATATATTCGTAACATGAATATACTGCTACTAGTAGCTCTGTGATGTTTCTGTATTTCTCTGGGTGTAGAGTTCAGCATATTTAGGCAAAGCCTGAAATTTTCTCCATTCTCCCTGAGCAGGTAATGCCACTGCAGCCTTTCTGTCTTACTGTATCTTTCTGGCAGCACAGGAACAAAAATCAGCAGACATGTAACTGTGCATGTTGTGCTGAGAAAAAACATAAGCAATAAGAAGCAAGGCATAAAAGTGCCAAAGCCAGAAGGTACAGTGTAAAACAAACACAGAGCGTTGCTTTCCAACTGTTTTCCTTCCTTCAGGCACGTGGTAATTACAGGGCATCTCTGATGTTCTTGGATGAAGGGGAGGCTGGGAAGATGTGGGAGGGTCTGAATCATAAGAGAGATGTTTTTAGAAAAATGCTTCCCAAAGCAAAGATAAGAAAGAGGAATAGTGAGGGAGGAGGAGGAGAGCAGCCCTCTCCCCTCTTTTTAATCAATGTTTGCTCCACAAAAGGCAGCAAGTGTCCAGGAGACCTGCTAGCCCTGTGACAGTCAACTTCATCATTGGAGAACTGACTTCCTCCAGCTGGGGCAGGTACTGAGTGATGCCACCATGAGACAGCACAGCGAGGGCATAGTCTACAGCCGTTTACACTTGGTAGGCCCTCTTCTTGGACTTTACAACATGAGAAAATCATGTGGCATTTAACAGGAAAAGCTCCCAGTCAATAGAGGGTCAACTGGGCACAGAGGGGAGGACCACAGAGCATGGCAGAATGCAGCCCAGAGACAATAACCTTTCTACAAAGGCTCATAAGCATTGCTGGTTTATAGCATACTCAAAGTCTACTCTGCTTCTTCCATGTTACATCCTCTGCCATGAGAAAAAGGATGATAAAACCATGAAAAATAGAACTTATGTTTCACTGCTAAATAAGTGTAATCCAAAGTAAAGCTTCAAACATAAAAGCAATCATGCAAGTTCCTAAAGCTGTATTTTCACAAGCATTTCCAGGCACATTGCAAGGCATTAAACAACCAAATATTTACCCGGAACTGGGATGGTGTTTCCAGTGTATTAAAATCTGAGGAAGAAGATATTCCATCTTCCAGGGTCTCCAAAAACACCTTCTGGAAATCCAGCATTTCTGGCAGACTGCCAAACAAGGACTCCATCTGTGAAAAACAGCAGGCTATGAGGTACAGCACTCCATGCACCTAACAGTGGTCTTGTGAAAAGAGTCCACTAAGGAGATGCGACACACAAAGAGGTTGTGAAGGCCAGTAACATCTTCATTAATACTTTTCAAACAGGTTTTATAAAAAAATGCTTACAAAACCCCAAAGATTTCTTAGCAGTTAAGTCAAAAGAACAGTTACCCTTTAAAAAAAAGAAGTGCCAGGTGCAGCGGACAGAAAGGCACTGACTGGTGTTATTCCTATTGTTATCTTTGTTGTTTGCTTTTACTGTCATGCTCTCAGCAATGAAAAACCCAAGTGCCAAGGTCTTAGCCCATAAAAGAATGAAAAGCACATATTTCAGTTTTTCCCTCACCTCATCCTGGGTAAGAAAGGTTTCATTTTGAAGGGGCTCCAAGTATAGCTCAAAGAGGCAACTCAAGTCCTGCAAAAAAAGAATTCATTCACTTTTTAAGTAACAGTTTGAAATTGTTCTTTATGCAACAGCTGTGGGAAAGGGGTAATTTTTGGGAATTAACTAGAGATACAATTCCTTTTCTACAAAAAAAATCACCTGTGTCTTGTCAGCACTAAAGTGATTGCTAAATTAGACACAAAAATTGATTTCAGTGCAATGTTTTTGTTTCATCCTTAAGGCTTTACAGCTTGATTGTAACAAATTATACTTTAGCATAGCATGAGGAGAAAATGTTACAGATGACAACTTCCTAAAGAGTCCATGTATATAAACAGTCTTCAAGGACTTGGTGCCACTTCTGAAGGAATAACGAGCATCTCCCTGAGAACGCCATAATGAGTATGTGCAACCTGCCAGGATTTTGCCTGGTGCAAAATTTCACATATGTCAGTGACCTCCATGGTCCTGCCTTTGTCCAAGCGATTCCTCTACAAGAAACATCAGCTGAGCATACATGGGGGTCTGTGGTCTGTAAAGCTTCCTCAAGCTTTACAGTGTGTGGGTGAATTAGTGTACTGGTGGAGGTACTAACAATAACAGACTGAAAGTGTTTTCTCTCCCTTTCCATATATACATTATTGCAGCAAGTACCAGTATCTTTAAGTACATGTTTTGAGATCCTCCTTGCTGAAGGTGAATTAAATCAATGTTTTCATGTTCCTTTTGGCATCCAGTCACATAAATTTGTGGTTTATAAAAAGAAGAGACATACATCTACCAAATTATGGACTTATCCATCAGAGGAGAAATAACATGTGCACACAGTGCTACAACCAACTGGAGTTGTGCCTTTTAGCTTTGCTGATTCAAAAATAATTATGCCCTATTTTTCACAATTAAATGTTTTTTCTAATTTGTAGGAGACTCTGTTCTTCTACCAGATTTATTTTCATCTTGAAAACTAGGGAGACATCCCTTGGAAAACCCCTAGATGATCTTTAAGGTCTCTTCCAACCCCAATCATTCTATGATTCTATGTTAACACAATCCAAGTATCTCTGCCCCACAAGTAATCGCTCTCTGACATAAATACAAAATTGACTAGAACTAAAGCTCCTAGATCAAATCCTACAGCCTGTATTGCATGAGCAAGCCTGTTCAGAAAAACAGGAACAATTACATAAGCAGACCTTGTAGTTTATGGCCCTTGCAGAAGGCTGATTACATAAAGGTAACCATGAAATATGTAACGACCATGCACAAATCATGGTCAGTCTCAAAAACAAGGCTGTAGCTAGGCAGATGTTTATTTTTTTTTACCTTGACATAAGATTTCTCAGTGTCCATAAGTTCTTGGATGACTTTCCTCAACCTATCTGCGTCAGAAAGGTGGCGAGCCAGTGGCCGTGCTGGTGGGTCCTGGTTGTCCTTCTGTCCTTCCATACCGCTTGCTTGGACTTCTTGGAAGTTTTGGCACAATGCACTGATCTGTTCTGAGCTCTGTTAAATAAGAGAAAAGAGACAAGCGCTGATGTTTTAGAATACAAGCTGTACTACAATTATTTTTAAATTCCTCAAATTTTGCTCTTGTTACAAATTTGGGATCAGAGGATGCCATTGATTTGTGTCAAATATGTATCCTGATAGCTTCGAACAGCTTGAATGTATAGCAGATCTGGATCACAGAAGTAAAATGAAATGAAAAATTCCAAGTGATTTTCCAGTGCAATTATTTTCAGTCTTCAGATGCAAGCTTGTGGGATGCAAAAGATGAGAGAGCACTCAAAGATATCATATACTTTGATTCTTATGACACTAGCATCACACGGTTTCCCATCTCTTATTTTGTGACACTCAAAAACAGAAAAAATTACCAGGTAAAGATCTTTTAAGAATCCAGAATAACTGTTTTGTCACCTGCTACCTATACTGTGTTGTGTGTTTTTTCAGACAATGCTATACAGAGCTGAGGGTTCAGATTCTAATGTCCCGGGTTATCAAAATATGTTTAGATACTTCCTCTCCAAGGAGAAAACTATGTATCAAGATTTTTTTGCTTTCAAAAACAGCAAATAGAAACCAAATTCTTTGAGATTCTTTGAGCTGTTGGTATCCACCTCTTCATACTACATGAAACAGTTCTTGAGTGCTTCTCTCTTTCAGACACTCTCTAAGATACTGGACAGCTACAGATGCTGTGCCACACATTACCTTCTATTTAGTGAAATGCATTCAAATGAGAACTACATGAATGCTGCCTTACTTCAAATGGAAGTCTTCTTTCAGTGAAGAAATCAGGACACAAGTGCATTTCAGAACTTAGATTACAGATTAATTAATTAGTCTTAATCTGTACTAATTTATTGCACATGCTCTTTCACGTGGTCTTTTCTGGATCAACTGATTCACCACTCTATGTAGCTAGGTTCACCAACATACAAGGTCATCAAATGAGCAAATGCAAAAGATATCCTGCAGCTCAACTGAGCCACACAAAGCCTTCTCTGAGGTGGAAGCTAAATGCACTAGCAATATTAAATCTCAGCCATTCATGTGTCAAAACATAGGCACATCTCTCATACCTATATGATAGAAATAAACGTTAAAATGTTAAATATTTGCCACGTAGTCCATATTACTCTGTAGCTTCCCAGCCCTCAGTTTTTAACAATGCCACCACTCTAAAAAAAAAATCAAGTTACTTTACTCAGTAATATGTACAACCATCTTCTACAGTCCTGTATAATGACAGCTTGCAGGACTATGAAATTTAGATACATTTTGTACTTACATTTATTAGTGTCCACAAAACGCAATGTGAATTGAATAGTGTTTGTTGGCATTACAGCTGCACTCTGATGAAATGCACTGAAAAACTACTCTGTGACACTAAAGTTAATTAGTGTTTTGGAAATAAATCACAACGTAATTTAGGAAATGGGGGAGGGATGTATTTTAAAGCAACTTCTAAATAGCTGAATGCCAAAGTACTTGAGTTTTGTTTTCTTTGTTTCTAATGTCAGAAAGTTCTGTGTTTGTATCAGAATGACTCAGATTTTATGCTCTCCACAGCTCAAGGTCCGTGTGGGCAGCTTGATTTGCATCAACCCGATGCCTGATCAAGGACACTAGATCAAGAACACAAGACAGCCTATTGAAAGTGAGTCACAAATATCATCATCAGGCACAGTTCTACAAGGCGGAGTTAAAAGTCCTCTATTCCTCCTCAAATACCTTCGCATATAGGGCAGGCAGACATTGAAGAACATGCTACGTTCTCTATCCTTTTTGGTTTTTTGGGCCAGAGCTGCATCTGCCACCAAGAACCACTGGATAAGAAAGCATATGGAAATAGATTATGGTCCTCAACATAAATATGATTTGAACACCTAAGCAACACAATTTTGGTGTCAGAAACTGTTTCACATAACTGGTCGAAGCCCAACGCACAGCATTACATCTCAGACCTACTGCAAACAAGTAATGACTTTTATAAACTTTAGTATGTTCCTGAACATGTAAGCACTTTGTGTTTGCAAGTCTGGCATTAAAGATATTGCCCTTGTCCTGCAGTGCTGCTCATAGGCTCTTGTCATTTCCTGTAGTCTTGCTGTCCTCTGTCCTTCCCTTTACAGGAAGCTTTTAGACTGTGCAATATCCAGACCTCATTCTCTCTCTTTGTACCCACTGTAGTATTTATATTGGGTCAAAGAAAGCATGAAATACTACTTGATCACAGGACAGAAGTATTTCACATTCACTCCTACACATTGCATAGCCCACAGAAGATGCAGGAACCCATTTTCCCAGCAAAACCACAAAGCGTACCTCAGGTTCTCAACCAAGAGTCCGGTATTCAAGAGAAACTTCATAATAACACATAAGTAGAGAGGAATAAAAGGCATTTTTGCTTCACATTTCTTCCCTAAACTCCCTTACCACCCAGGTCAGGTTCTCCATCTTTTTTCCACACTGCTCTGGGTGCTACTTTCTGCCACCCACACTGACCAATGTCCTGCTCTTTACTATTTTTGCTGTTTACACCAGATCTTTTCTAGAGCAACTCTAGTGACAACCCCTAAGAACGTCTCTTTTATATCTCTTATGTGTGAGCAGGAGAGGCCCAGCCTCTGCCCCATTACTGATTGCAGCTGGGATTTCAAAGCCACCTGGGCATTCTGGATGTCAAAGCAGAGTCTGGCAGTCCAGTGCTCTTAAGCCAAGAATTCTCAAGAGGAGCCCCAAGTTGATACTACATCAGTCAGTCAGCGGAAGCAGCCTCTTGCCCCATACTCTCTTTGCTTCTAAGAAAACAGAAGGAGGTGTAGAAGCAGCCTTGAAAAACTTTTTTTTCATCCCTGCATGTTTGCGACCCGTAGTTACATCCTATATCCTTTTGCATGGAGTGCTCTCTGTGAATGAGGATTGCTCACAGTAACCTTAGAAGGGACGGTTCCAGTCCACATCATCATCAGAGCTCGACCCTTAAGTGTCAGCCACCACAGTGTTAGTCAGTTGGAGATGAAGCACTCCCCATTTTCAATAACACTCATGATAAGAAATATTAGATATTATTGCTTTAAAGTGAACAGAGGATACTCTTACAAGAAACCTCTTACAGATTTTCTTTGCTCCTTGCAGATAAGCATATTATCATCTGAGGCTGTGCTATCCCCACCAGAGTTAAAAATCTCCATAAAATTAATTTGTGAGAGGCAAAAGACATTAATCAGCAGTGGTTAAGCATTAGCACAACAATTTCATGGCTATCCTGTGACTTTCTACTGAATTATACTGATTGAGCATAAATGCTCCACAAGGTCAATTAGTGCTATGGTGTCTCTGCTCATTGCTGTTCAATTCACCCTCATTTATACATCTCAGGTACTCTTGTCAGTTGGTTGAGGTTTGTTTGAAAAAGTGAGGGAAAGGAATATTTTGGGTAGGCTTAGAAAACTCTTCAGCCTAAGAAAGACTCCTTGGCGGGGGGTGAAGGGGTGTGGGCAGGGCTAAAACTGTGCATGTCCTTTGATGAGTTTTCAGATTCTTGTACCATTGAGCAGGTCACTGACCACGTGGAGATCAACCAGTCCTTTGAATTCCTTATCCAAAAAGGATGTGTGACCAGAAAACATCCTGCAGAAACAGATTAGTCTCGTACCCTCTAAAAATGAACAGCTAACAGCTCAGCTCTGCCTGATGTCTGTATTTGCAGGAAGAAAGACTGAATGCACCAATCAGCAAAAGAAATAACATTATACATGATTTTGAGAAACGAACAACTGGCCAGAGAACTTTTTACATCCTTCATGCTGTGAAAAAAATGAAAGCTTTTCAAAATGCCCATCACTTTTCCTTTGTGTTAAAAGATACTTCTCTCTGGAAAAGGCAGCCCTAACAGCCAACCTTTTTTGTGGATCCATCACTCTACAGACTTCTCTGTCATCCTCAGACTGGGAAATGCTTTGCAACCAGGCAATGTAAAAAGCTAGAAAAGCAAAACAGAAATCATTTCCATAATGGAAGGTTAAATCCTGACCATAATAAATGTAAAGATGAGAGCATCAGGTGAACAAAGAGAGAGGAACCCTGACAGCCCAGGTCTTTGCTTCCTTAAAGACCACTGAAAAAAAGTTGCCATGTACACCAGTACAGTATGTGCTCTCCTCTAAATTGTTTATTAAGACTGAAAAATGTCAACAGAGTTTTACTGAAAACTGCCTTTTAAGATTTTCACCATGGGCATCTGGGCAAAACTGCTGCTCAGCTTCAGGCAACAGAAGCTAAAAGTAGTCAGTGCTTTTCTTCTGGGCCTTCTCTCTTTTTTTTCTCCCAACTTCAAAGGCCACTCAGAACACGAAACTGTTCCTGACTGACTGCTGAAAATCTTGGGTGTTTGTTTTTTTTTTAGCTGTCCCTCTTGCATGTCTTTTAATTTAAATGTTTAAAACATCGCTAAAGGAAAGGTATTTTTAAAAAAGTACCCACTCAGATCCTTCATAGCAATAAGCCAAGCACAGAGTTGTGCTTTAAGGAGGGAGAAACAACCCCTATACACCGCATTTTGAAAAGCTGCCCTACCAGACTCTACCTGACCAGGCAACATGGGAGGAGTTAAAAATAAACTTTTGTCTTTGAGTCAGAATTTCCCAATTTCAGGGACATTTACATTAGCAAAGTCATCCTGTTCTGGTAATGCAAGTAGGCGTCACCAACCTCATTTAGAAATGCAACGCACAGTAAGAAGAGGGGTTGATGACCTCGTAACTCCCGACAGCACAGATCAAGGCCTGAAATAAGGCTGAGCTCATGGCTGTGTAAAACAGCCAAGGTGCAACCCATCTGACACAGTGCCCGAGCTGTTCATATTAATTGCATGGTGGCAAATCTTCCTTCTCAGCTGCCACACAGAGAGAGATGCCCATCTTTGTCCCTGGGTATAGAAGAACCACCACTGGTGACTTTGATACTTGGCTGAAACACTAGTTATAAACCAAGTC